AAATCAATTAACAAACGGAGACGTAACAGTATTATATGCCCAATGATATTTAATAGAAATTGACACGATTGACAACAAACCTAACTTACTAATTAACTTTACTCAGTCAATCTTCCCTCGATCAACGACTAATTCATCTTTTATTCACTGAATACACCATTGAACTAACTGTTTATTCGTATTTGTGCTAATGCGCTCATATATATCTTAGTCGTGTTTACTAGATTTTAACATCATATGTCCTTTATTTAACATCAAAATTAAACACTGAAAATATACGTTACAACATTGCACTGAGACACTCACTCCCTGCTGACTATGTGTCCCAAAAAACTCATATGTTGATGGAATAACTTATAGTTTTTGAGATTCATCTTAAGGTTTTCATTCTTTAACCGATCCAAAACTTTCTTAACCAATCATAAGCGTTATAAAAGGTTTTCTAATGTGCGATTTTGTCATTCAGATATATATAAATATGATGTTCCAGAGTAGTTCAGCATACATAAAAATGTTAACATAACGAAGTTCCACAATGCGTTTCCAGCAGTAAAGGGTGTATTCTATCTATGTGCTTTGTTCCATTTGCATTTACCAATATCCACTCTTATGTCAAAAGCTGAAAACCATTTAGATCCAGACAGAGCATCCAAGCTATATTCATCCCTTGGCATCCTTCTTTGTAACTTCATTCACATCTTGTGGTCCATGCAAAACCTTGTATATCCACCCTTTTACTTAACAAGTACAGAAGATGATGCCAAAGGACTAGTATTCAGCTCTAATTCTCCTTGTTCATTCATTACTTATATCTCCTTGAAAGCCTCGGGATGTTTTGGAAGTAGGATTAGTGCGACTAACTCATTTACTGATGCTGAACCTCCAGTATTAATTTTGTGATGTATTTATTTGTTTGGCATAAGTCATGAAGTCCACTGAAAAAAACGTCTAGATATTCTGTGAGTAGATCGTGTAATATATATAGCATTGATCAGCTGTAAGACCTCTACAGCTTTTGTCATACAGCTCTTGTAAGTGAGCTGGTAAACTGTCTTCATATGAGAATTTGACATTAGACTTCCCACATCTTGCCTCAAAGATGACTACTGCTGTTGTCATTTGATGCAGAAGCACTACCTGTAAATATTCATATCTTGCAGTTTCCCGTTCATTCTTGGCTCGAATTTTATTGTACATTGTGATCATGGCCGTAATGATGACATCTTTATTCTTCAGATCCACGAGAGATTTTCCAACCATTAATCAGTTAGGACCCATTTCAGTGTTGGGTTCCATGAGGGTCTAATTACTGGATATAAATCTATTTCTAATATGTCCTATTAAGAGCATTTAACTTCTTGGTGGTAGAATAACTGACAACCTTGTTGTCACTGGAAGTTCAGCTTCTGGTGTATTTATTGTCATGCAGTAGATAGGGATATCCTAATCACAGACTTTGAAGCTAGCCTATTCTTATGTCCATGTCACCATATGAAGTCAATTCCCAATAATTACCCCTCTTCGATATAAATTACCTACACATCATGATATATATAGGATTTTCATACAGTTAAAGTAACTTTCAACTTATCTCTAGCTGTTCACATCACTCAATCTTCTGGAGTGGAGACAATTTCCCATAGTTTATTATTAACTCGGGTCAAACAACTGTAGCTAAATTTTGCCCCATAAGTCCAGCTAAATTCTGTTTAGATGATATCTGGTTAGCTGCTTGTTGGGCTCGAAGACTCATCTTTAGGTGTTGTCCCGTTGGTGTATTAACAGCTGTTGATTCCTCACAGTCTATGCTGTAATGACCATATTTCCCACAATTATAACAGTTTATTTTTACTGATATCCTTTGAGAGGAATCTGGAACCATAGGTGCGTCATATGAGTAACTGTCATATCTTACTATTTGTCAGACAAGAGTAGAGCAAGAGCTGGCGATGATGGATGCTGTTGACCAACTGCCTTCTTTATAACCTGATAGTTAAAAATTAAGAACAGCTACGCGCAGATAGCACTTTCTGTAGCTTTGCTCGAAAAGTATGAAACAAACAAAATATAAACAAAATAAAAACATAAATCCGCTAGCCCACAAGCTCTCCAAGTGAAAAATGTCAATAAACACAAAGACCATATAGTTATATATAATCGGCCTTTTTTGACAATTTATTCATATCCTTGATCAACATCTTATTTTCTTATCTTCTTCGGACATCTTCAACATTTTCAATTGTTTTATGATAATTTTAGAAAATAAAAAAACTGCAGAAAAATTGCATGGGGAGATAAATAGGTACAAGTTTAAAGTTTTGTAAATGTTTATACTTCGCTGAATCATATACGTACGTCTGGGGTCTAATATGTTTTCAGTATATATAATTCAGCTTGAGCTAATTGTCTGTACTTTGCTCTTGTGTGTGTGTGTGTGTGAGAGATTTCTGGTACCGCTAGGTTACAGATAGTAACTTCGCCATACTGTGGCAGGTTAGTATAAACATGGCAGCAGTTTTGAGATTAAAACGAAGATTGAACGAAGACCCAGCGGAAGCTCTCATTCTTAGTAGTAAAAGAATAAAAAGTTCCGAGCCAAAAGTGACAAAAACATTTAAATTTGCTGGAACAGTTAAAGAACAGGTTTGTTGTTATTTATAGTCGCATAGGTTTTATCCGTTATTGAGTGTATTTAAGCCGTACATCCGCCATCTTACTACACCCAACTCCACAGACTAATGAGTGCTTTGTATAGTTGTTTGTTTTGTTTTTTGCAATCAAAATCATAGAATAAAAATGATATACATTTTTAAAGTTGAGAGGTGATTATATTTTGGATTAAAAAATAATAAACTCCCATTAGATTATATTATAGGGTATATTAATTGCTTACTCACTGTTACTTGTATTTGTAAAAATATAAGTGTAAATTATAAATCAAATAGAAATAACAATTTACCAAAGAAAACAATAATGTAATTTCAACACTTTTTTATATAGAAGTACAAAGAACCACCCTCATTTTTAAAAGTAAAAATATTTATTCATTGGTTATTACCAATAATGTTGATCCTGCATGAAATTGAAAGGATTATTCATAAGAACAAATATTCATACATCATTACATGAAACTGAAAGAAGAGCAGATTCACTAACTGATTCTTTAAGTTTATTATTAAGATATGATGTACAAAAACTTTATGCAAATGTAAAGACTGCAGTTGGGCCAATGGTAAGTTTACAGACAATGCTAAAAATAAAAATTAATAATCATTAAACAGCACATTTGTTGCTAAATCTATCAGTTATCCCAATTCTGGTATTTTTATAGCCTGATATATAACTTGTGGTCAAGGTTTAGTATTATAAAAAGTAAATCTGTTAATTATTAAAATAAAAAAGTCTCTTGTTGACAAATGAAATATTTCTGCAGTTGGGGTAACAATGTACTGATGAATGAAAATATCTTTTTAAATTACGAGTTCTGTAAATTATAATAAAAAAAGAAACTTCATTTTACACTAACATATTCTATAATAACACTGTATGCACATAAATAATATTGAGTGTAGATAATGAGTCTGTGAGCCAATACAATTATGTGTAATTACAAATAAAATTGTACTAGTGTTAAAACAAAACTAGCTTGCAAAGTCGAAATCTGTGAATAATCCAAATTTTTTTGTAAATCAAGGACACTTTCCTCACAGTCAGCAACACCCAAAACCTTAATATCATCAGCAAAATTAAGTAATTTATTGACAATTCCTTCACATATGTTGCAGATAAAAAAAAAAAGAGCAAAGATCTTAACACCGAGCCCTGCAATACTCTACTTGTGACATTAAGCCAGTTTGACTCGGATCCATTTGTAACAAACCTCTGCTTTCTTTTATCAAGCCAATTTATTATTTAATGACCCAACTCATCCAATATACCTACAGAGATAATCTTTTATGTAGCATCTTGTCAAATGTTTTCTGAAAATCCAGATACATCAAATCCACATACATTCATAAGCATTAACCTTTTAAACAATTGTCTAAAAATTTGTAGGTCAAGATTTTCCCCTAATAAAATCATGTTGACCATCAAACAAAATTTTAATCTTTGCTAAGTGACTTTGGAAAGCACCTATTATTGGACTGTCAGAAACTTTTCCCACCACTGATTAAGACTGATAATAATAGGCCTATAATTTGTATTGGAAAATATTACTCAGATGGTCGAAGTCACTGAGTACAATATAATTTATATTTATAATACTTGGTTTAATGGAATTTCAATTTCATATGTATATTTTCCAGTAAACTGAACACAAAAAAAATTTTATTTATTAATTCATGCCATATTTAAAACACAAGGTACAGGTATCATTTATTTGACTGCCTGAAAATATGAACTTGTTAATTCAAAATGTAATTGAGTTAACAAAAAGTGTAGTTTGGATTTAAAATAAAAACTTCCCTAAATTTATATTGCTCCCCAGTGGCACAGCAGTATGTCTGTAGACTTACAATGCTAGAAACCAGGTTTCAATACCCGTGTTGGGCAGAGTACAGATAGCCCATTGCGTAGCTTTGTGTTTAACTTCAAACATAAAAGCTCAAAAATTTATATTACCCCCATTGTTCGAGACAAGTTTTCATTTGTTAATTGATAAATTAATGTGAAATACAGCATCCTCAAGTATTCATATTAGCTTGTACTAAGGTCTACCTGCTGGGAGTAAATTCAGTATATATATAAATAAAGCCACATTCTCAGCATCATTAATTAGGCAATTGCCAACCTTTTATGCTTTTTCTATCACCTTTTATGTTTAGTTTTCAATTGAGAGACAAATTATTTCACCTGCAATTTGGTAGGGAAGATTGAAGCATCACGATAGTCAGTAGTAGGATGAGCAGACAGGAACACTTTGAAAGCAGCTACAGGTATAATTTTGTAATTGGCTTGCTGCACAATATCTACCAAGATGGTTCTAAATGGTTTTTGAATACCTCTGCGTGTCATTTGGGGACTTCCATGCTTCTTGTGCTTGACCGTTAAGCTGGTGATAAGCTGACGAATTTCAGTCACCTTATCACATCAAATTACTTTTTGGAGCCTCAATGCTAAAAGAGTGTGGGAAATGCCTTCTTTTTAGCCAATAAAATGTCCAAACATTTCAGTTCGAATTAAGAAGAACCGGATTGGTAGTTGTTTTTTTCAACAAAAATGTCTCCCACTGGCTCATGAGAGGTCTGTTAAAATGTAACTTCCTTATTTTTTGCTTTATTTGTTTACAAGTAATGTTCAGAAAGAAACAAGAGTTTATTTGTCGGTCAACCATATTATATTGAACTGACAAATGTAAACCAATTGTGAGGAGCTTAGGCAACCAAGCATTACTTCTCAAACAGTCTGCTAAGTACAATGATAAATTTCCTTCTCTGTTCCATGATATTCATCATACCTGCTGCTTTAATAACATAAGTTATGTTGGATTGTCCTCCTTGAACTTTGAGAGGATAAAAAAAGATTGAAATTGCAAGTTTCTTCATGTAGGTCAAAACTATTATAAGTGAGGTGAAAAATTATCATCCACCCAAGCTTCTCATTTGTTGCCATTACCATTGTAAATATTTTGTAATTGTGTTAAATGCTAACAGCTGTAGAAATGCATAACAAATGTTGCTGGTAACAGCAGAAAGATATTTGACCAGAGTTTGTACAAGGCCTTGAAATCTTGAAAAGTCATGTTAAATGGGCTGTAAACATTTCAGTTGCAAAAATTGTGTAAAGAAACTGCTAAGTCATAGTGTTCTGGAAAAATCATAAAATTTATTTCATTAAGAAATATTCCATGAAGTAAACAGCTTAATTTGAAAATATTATAAATGTTGTAGTATTGGGATTGGGTTTATTTATATGTATGTGTTGGCCATCATGAATATTGTGACTCAAGATAGTTCATACTGTTGCAATTTCTGCCTGCAGACATGCCTGATAAATGAAAACATCAGTGTAATAGTGTTTGGCAGCTTTAAAGAGCCCTGGAGGTTTGAATATGGAACTTGAAAAGTCCTTGAACTTTATTTGTGTAGTTTGTGCAAACCTTGTTAGACTACTAGTGTAACCAAACCAATTGTTGACCTAAAGTTAATCATATTTAGCATAAAAGAAATAAAACCTATTTATTTCTAGACACTTCTAGTTGTATGTATAGTAAGTATTACATCAACCTTTGTTCTAAATGATTATTTTATTAACATATTTTCTAAAAATAATAACATTATAATAAGAATATATACAAAAAATTTATCCTTTTTCTAGTATTTCACAAAAACATTTTTTGTGTTTTGTCATCACCTGTATATATGTGTATGTTTGTCATGTTTTATTCTTAAATTACTTGTATAAGATATAAGTATGACTAAAAATGTAACATTATTTTAGCAAAAACACAAATGTGAAAACAATGGCAAATTGAAAAGTTAACCTCAAATACAAATTAAAGTTACAGAAATTTGTCATATTCTAATAGTGTATGTGCAAATGTTCATGTAAAAACTGGTGTTTATATATATGTGATACCAGTCTTTCATACAGTTTTAAGTATTATCAATACATGAGAGAGATCAATGGATTATTTAACAATATATATATATATAGTAACAATAATTATGCAATTAAAAATGGGAACTTAACATCATCAGGTGTAAGTGGGTGAAAGTTGTCAGCAACCACAAAATGTAATCTAAAAATATTCAAAGACAAAAAAATTACCTATTTATTCATAAATTGTGCATAACTGTTTATTAAAATTCAGATAGTGGTTTGTTTCTTCAATTATACACCAATGCAAGTAAGAATCTGTTGTGTAACAACAGAAGAACATATCTGAAATTATTGCCCTCTAGTGGCACAGCATCATGTCTGCGGACTTATGCTGTAAGAAACTAGGTTTCCATACCAGTAGTCGGCAGAGCACACTTAGCCAATTGTGTAGCTTTGTGTTTAAATACAAACAAAGAAAATGAAATTATTAGAGGGTCTGTTTCAAGTGTTTGAACCCATAATGTCTTGGTCCAAACTGCACATTCACTTTCTGTACCCAATTATGAGAAGGTTGTTGCCCAATAATAAAATCAAATAAAGAATAAACAATCCAACCCCAAGTAAACCAGAATAATAGTAGCAGCAAAGAAATGTATCAGATATGAAAAGCGAAATAAATGAAAAAAATATATATATAAATTAAAAAGAAAAAGATAAATAAAAAAGATTGTTTACCAACCATACTTGATCGCAAGCTTCCCTTAAATGTGAAGTGAAAAGAAAGGTGCTAAAGGAAAGGCACCATGTAACTTATTTAAAACACAAATTGTGATATGATATATTTTGTATATACACACACACAAATGATTATGCAGCCACTCTGCACCAACAGGAGCACGACATAACCCCTATTGTAACCAGTGCCCTCTCCACATTTGAAATCTTTTATCACTTTTCAGTTGGCAGTAATACTGTACAGACATGTTTGTTTTTACTTACAGATCTGTCAACATTTTTTTTATACTACAGACTTAATTTTTTGTGTCTTGGAATTGTGAAAGGTTGCTCTTTCAACTTTTCTTACTTTCTCATTTTTCTTC